ATATTAACGTTTGATCTTAAATTCAGCATTAGCGTACACATTCGTAATTCAATTTATGTGAATTGCTCATATTTTGCGTCTCTCTCTCTCTCTCGCTATATTCGGTGATAGATATATTTGGAATACCATTTCATTTTCGTCATCAAACAGTATTGTCGCTGTCCTCATCCTTTGAGTATGACACTCCCAATTTGCGGGTTTATTTCATCTCTTTGATACCAGCATTTATACCCATTCCTATCAATGTAGATTAACTTTAATTTTGGTTCAACTTACTCTTCATTTATTTTCTCATTTGTAGAACTAGGAAAAAATGAAGAGTTAATTGAACGGAGATAAAAATTAAACTACGTTGATAAAAAGAGCATCTATGATGTATATTGACGCGATGTATTTCATCTATTTCGATATTTTCGATCCCAGTGATATTTGTTTGTTATTAAATTTTATGTAACTGCAATTTAAACATTACGTTTTCTTGCGAAAACTGAGCTGTGTCTACATAAAGTAAAGATACATTTTATGGAGTGAAGATTATGAAAGGATTAAGTACAATGGATTAATATATACATTCTCCAGTAGAGTTTATTTTATATTGGAAATTCTCGATAATAAGTTTTATCTAGTACAGAATTTAATGAAAAAAAACAAACTATAACTATTCTATCATCTTGTTAACATTTTTATTCGCGATTTTTCATAATAAAATTGCTGAAATTGGTATTTCAAACTCGTTTGTTTTGAATTCGAGCCGAAAATGTACTTTATGCGAAGTTAGCCTCCCCGACATTTTTTGTTAACAATTTTTTAACTTTTTTAATTTAAAGTGTGCGAACGAAAAATCGACTTATTTCGAAACGTGCAAACGAAAATCTATCGATTAAACCTTTTTCAATCTAATTTGCTCAAAGTTGGAGGGCTAGTGTGATGTTAGCTCCCTAAAATTGTTTTTTGAGTAACTTTTTTACTGGAAGTGTACAAAAACGATGAGCAATTGAATGCGCTATATATAAACTTAACATTTTTTAATGTTGGAAGTTAACTTCACAATGGTAAATAAGAGAAGTATTCAAATTTTATAAATACTCAGGCATAATAAAAACAATCTATGAAATTTTTATGTTTGATATTGTTTCTAAATGTGACATGTACATCTTTAATTTATAATTCACGATGTAACAAGAGATACAATGGATCTAACCACATGGAAAAATGTATAGTACATTATTAACGCTAGAAAATGCTCTGTCTACAACTCTCAAAAATTGCCGATTGATTTATTGATACGTATTTAACGCCGATATATACAAAGAGAATTTTTAAGGACTTTGCGCTGCGTTTAATCGTCGCCGAATCGAGAATGTGTCAACTTCTCTAAATCCACAACGGATTTCCGAAACCGACAGCAGTCAATAAACGTGCGCGAGAGAAGCTTTTTGTTCCACTTCGTATACGATGTGTTCGTCCTAGAAATCGACATATCCTTTTTCGTAGTGAATGCCATCGCGATGCCATCGCGGCGCGTATGTCCAATTCGCGCAATACAGGACAAATTTTCGTCGACAACCAGTCAACGGAGTGTCCGTTATCACGAACGAAGACAAACGTAATTTGAGAGCCTCTGTACCCGACTGAAAAATGACATCGGCAAGTTTTTGCTGTGATCCAGTTTTTTTTCCCCATAGTCATGCAAACACTACACACTGAAAAAAAAAACGATGCAATTACCGATCATAATTTAACTATAATTTATAATCATTTTTGATGCTAACTATATTTTTTTTTTTATAGAACTACACGGAGAGAATTTTCTTTTAAAATTTACCCTGAAAATATGGTGATTGTGGTACAATACAATATTTTAAAGATTTTTACCATGCACTTCGGTAAAATTGATCAAACTTATTTTATACTTTATTGTAGTTTTATTAATGAATGAGAGAGATTTATATTATATAAAATTCTTCGAAATACACACACACACACACACACACACAATGTTGTCCCATGATTGTCATATTTTCATGTTAAATTTTAAGGAAAAATTCTTTCCGTGTATAAACAATAATTATTCAATTGAGTAAGTGAAAATCAAGAAATGCTCAATAGAATGTTTATTGAATTTTTTTAACCGGCTTTTGCCATTAAATTTCTAATAAATTTTTATAATTGTAAAACATAATAAGATAATATTATTCGAATATTACTATACATTACGTAAACAAGCGTGCTCGCTTTTGCAAGCGGTTTAAATATACCCGCAACGTCGCCTTCGATCAAGAAGTGACTTAACGGATTACGTTGTCCAATCTATGCAACCGCGATGCGCAGTGAGAGTAAGCCGATAAAGTCATCTCGGCGAACATATATTGATCGAAAACTACCACTAAAGTAACCGCAACGTTTCGCGGTGAAGTAATTGGACAACAAGTGATATCCGTAATTTTATTTGCGGACGTTTCGATGGGACTTTTCTCTGAGCGAGCGCGTCGTCCGACGTGTGAAAATTTGCGAGAGGGTGAGAAAATCGGC